GATTGGGCCAAGTGAGGGGGAGCACTGGCCCATTGGGAAATTCCCCAGTGCCTATAATGGCCAGTCCACCCCTGCTGGCAGTGGCTGTCCAGTGTCCCAGACTGAGGACTTTCATATCACCTACTACCTGTTCCTTTTACCTTCAGAGGTTGGGTATTGAACCTTCAACCTTCTGTATATCAAGCAGGTGCTCTACTTCCAAGCTGTAGCTCCTGCCTCGGATAAAGTGTGTGTGCTTGATTTTTTAAAAACTCTTTTCCAAGAAAACAAATATTGGGCATAAAACATTAAGAAGGCCCATGTTACAAAACTCAGCATTTAAACATCATTTCAGGGTTTCAAGCCATGCACACCCAGTTCTGTACAGGAGAAGAACAACCAGATTGTCTGTTTGTTTTCACAGACTCCAAGTTCTAACATCAGGGTTTTAAATTTTTTTTCCTCTAGTACAAAGTCTTTGCATATATTAAGCCAGCACTGGGGTGTTAAGTGAGCCCCATTCAGATTCACAATTCTCATTCGGATTCACAACTCTCCCAAGGAATAAGATGGCATGGGTAAGGTGCTCTACAACCACTACCAGGTAGGGGCGGTTGAATGTAACTATTGGTGGCAAAGAATAGGGGTCCATATCAATGACAGTAGTGACAGCAGCCTCAGTTCCATTCTCGTGGATATTCAAATAAGCTTCGTGGACAGCCTGCAAGGAAAGTAAAAGCAAGAATGAATACCAAAAAAGGAAGGGGGGGGGAGACGGAGCAACTTTGTGTCTGTTCTAGTCCTCCACAGCAAAATGAATAATGTTTTAGTGGATCTTAGTCATGTTGTTCTTTGCTTTTCCTGTGATTTATCGTTCCACCTGTTATCTGGCTAGCTTGTGTAGATGTTACCTTCTGGCAGCAATTGTTTTGTGAACGGGAGGTGCTGCCCTCTGTCTCTCCTCCCCTCCTACTCATGCTAGATTTACATCCAATGACCATTTTGTTGGGTGAAGTCAACATTTTTAAAACAGATTTGACTGGTTGGGACTCATTTTATGAGACAGTGACTGTGACAGCTGAAGTCTTTCCAAAAGCAATCGAACCAATAGCCACAAATAGGATGTGCATGGTGCTCATTCACAAAATGGGTGTCCAAATCTACTTTAAAATTTTATTCTAGTTTTATTTATTTAGTTACTCATCTACCTTTCCCAGCTTGTGTAGGCACAACTTCTCCCCCTCCTCCCAATAGCAAAAGCAACTACTAATCAAGGTATGAATTGTGGCAGAACAGGCCTGCTTTGGCCTACATGCCCTGTTCCACCCTGCCCTCTGAGGTTTTCCCAGCACCTGGAGATGGTTTTCTCTCTTTCCGGTAACCTGCCACCACCACCTGACCTTTGTAGGTATTGTCCACTGGGAGGGTCAGGGCTCCCAGCTTCCCTTCCAAGTTCTGAGGCCTTGGCTCTGTGTCTCCCGCTGCCCAGCACCTGGTCACCATGGGGACTGGTTACTGCATTGTACACCCCTGAAGGAATAGCCACTTGCAAACTGCCTGCCTTCCCCTTCGCTCTCCTTTTAAATAACATGTCCAATATGGTGGAGGTCTATGTGGTACAGATAACCAAAATCAATATTAAAAGTTATAAAGTGCATTAAAAAGAAAATGTTCACAAGGAAACCTAAGCACAGCACCAGATTGAGGAAAGCATCAAAAAGAAATGGGCAAAATGCAATTCCTCTGACCCTCTCTCTCTGCATGCCCTATCAAATATTAAAATACAGGACAGGCTCCTTAGCTAAGGAAGTTACAGATCTCTACAGAGTACCTTTATCTTGAAGCTTCCTTCAACTGACTAGGCCACCACATGGCTAATGGCCGACTCCTCCAGACCTCAGTCAAGAGTTCTGTCTGCTCTGATGGACCCAGCACCTAAAGAGGCTTCCTCCTTGCTGCTAGGAGTTTTTATCGTATCTCTTTTTCCAACCAGTTTGGTGTAGTGGTTAAGTGCGCGGATTCTAATCTGGGAGAACCAGGTTTGATTCCCCACTCCTCCACTTGCACCTCGCTGGATGACCTTGGGCAAGCCGTAGTTCTGATAAGAGCTGTCCTTGAAAAAAAGCAGTTTCTGTTAAAGCTCTCTCAGCCCCACCTAACCCACAGGGTGTCTGTTGTGGGGAGGGGAAGGGAAAGGAGTTTGTAAGCCGCTCTGAGACACCTTTGGGTAGTGAAGGGCAGGATATAAATCCAATCTCTTCTCTTCTTCTTCTTCTACTTCTTCTACCACTTATGGAGGGGGAGCTTGACCACCAAATTGTCTATATATCTTAGTATATGTATGAAGGCAGACAGAGGTAAGTCTAGAAGGCAATCGAACTGACTTCCCCCCTTCCTGCCTGTTCCCTGCCCAGAGAGATTTTGCTCATTTCAAACTACCAAAGGAAAAAAAAATTGCATTTCTTCACAGATGGCCTTCCGGATTTTTTTAAAGGCTTCAATCCTATGCACACTCATACAGGAGAGAGCCACCTTGAATTCAGTGGCACCCTCTTGGATTAGACCAGATCTCTCCAATATGGTGCCTTTCTTGGCACCTATCAGGTGTTTTTAGAAAGTAGGTGGGGCCAGGTGGGGCTTTTACCGAGCAGGGCTTCTGACTGGCCAGGGAAGATCTGATCAACTATGCAAGTTAAAATAACATTTTTTTCAGTGACACCTGCCACCACAGTATTTGTTTTTCTTTCCCACTGTATTTTTAATAATCCCTATTCTCGTCTACATTTGGTCTTCCTCTGTTGATGTGGCAGCCATTTTGTGGTTGGCTCAGCCTCCTGGGGCAGCCATTTTGTAGTTGTTCCTATAACCCTGTGTCAGAATTCCATAGATTCCCACAGGTCCAAAAAGGATGGGGTCCCCTTTTCTAAACATAAGTACAGAATACAGTCTTCCCTGACAGGAAGTTTTGTATGTCTGTGTCCTTCCACCTGTCTCCCTTATGTCCTCTGGCCCATCCTTACAGACTTCCTTCATGGTCATAAAAGTGTGGACACTGGTCCTGCTATGTTGCTTCCTCCTTTTAGGAGGAAGACCAAATTAGTTCGAAACTAAATGCTTGATGGGCCAAAGCAAAGCGTTTTGCAACTCACTTCCCTGACAAGCTACGTTGTCCTTCAGTGAAACAAACTTGGGACATAGTTTGAGAAGTAATATCTAAAACCTTTGTAAGACTGCTTTTCTCTTCAGAAGACCAGGATATAGAAGTGCTTGACTTTCTCCTTTCTTCTCCTATGTTCCTTTGCTTGCAGGCAGGGGTCGTTTCGTAGAAAAAGAGCTAGGGGAACTCATTAGCATAACTCATTAGCATATGCCACACCCCCTGACATCAGGGGCCCGGCGGTGGACCTGCAAGGCTGGTGGAAGTGCGAGGAAGCCCCGCCAAGGCCCTCCCTGGCCCCAGGCAGGCAGGGGTGGGGAGAGGCGGGGAGGAAGCAACTTACCCTCCCTCTTCTCCTGCCTCCTCCTGGCTGAATGAGGGCCGGAAGCAGGGCGGCCGGAAGCGGGGGGCAGGGCTTCATCATGTGCCCCGCCCCCTGCACCTCACCTGGGGGAACTGCGATCCCCCGCGATCCCCCCCAAATCGACCTCTGCTTGCAGGTAAAGTTTTCATCTCAAGTCTTGCTCCATGTGCTTTTCTCCTCAGAATTAGGTTGGGTGATGACCAGAGGGAGCACTTTGTTCTATGGCATGCTGCCTTTTTTAATGCTTATCTGGCACTTACTTTACTAGCATTTAGGCACCATGTTTAAAGATTTCTGTTTACATAAGACTTTTAACTAGACTTTAAAAACCCATTTCTTCTGGTAACTTTGTGGTTGGCAACCCTAGGCTCCCCTCACCTCCTCAGAGAGCCCATTCTACAGAGCAGGAGCCATGATGAAATAGGCCCGGCCTCTGGTCAATACCCAATAGGACATGGTAAATGGTAGGGTACACAGTTGATGCAAAGGGACATATGGGAGGAGATGGTCCTTATTATTTTTATGCTGTTGGTTTTATGCTTATGATCATTTTGCTGATGGTTTTAATGACTGCAGTTTTTAACATATATACCAGGATGGTCTACTTGTTTATAGATGAGTTTTATTGCAGTGGCTTTAAATAATTATTAATTGCTTTAGATTTATTTATTGATACATATTTATTCAGAACATTTTTTGTCACCTCTACCAGAAATCTGCTTAAAATCGGAACTTTTATTGATCTATTTTTTTTGTTAGCAACTTCAAACAGTATCTGGAGAAGCAACAATACAAATAAACTAAATATATAGCAACTACAGTCCTAAACTCATTGACTTCAATGGGCTTTAAATGGTGGGAGGCCATATTTGCTCCAGGTCTCTATTTTTGGCACATCATAAGCAATATTCCCTCTAAGCTGTGGAGTCTTGTGAGCAAAAATTCTACTTTGTGAGTTACTGGCTTTAAAGTTGTGAGCCAGTGATTTGGCTACTGCATAAATCAGTTAGCTCTGGAGCCCTCCTTCCTGAGCCAAGGCAAAAGTGTGTGAGCTGGAGGCTAAAAAATTGTGAGCTAGGTCACACTAACTCAGCTTAGAGGGAACACTGATCATAAGTTTAATGATATAGGATGTCATGAGACACAACATGGCATGGTTGACCTAGGGAAAGGTCAGGATTGGTTTGTGAGCAGTGTTCCCTCTAAGCTGCACTAGAGGGCACTGATGCACAAAATTTTAGCTGCCTGCTCAGGCATGTTAGCTTTCAGCTAACAAACATTTTCCCCTCCATAGGAAACAAAGAAGGATGGGGGCACCACTTTCTGGGGCCCATAGAATTGACCCCCCTGGTCCAATCTAGTGCAATCTTTTTGAAATTTGGAGGGTCTTTTGAGGAGGGGCACCAGAAACTACACAAAAATCATGGTGCATTTACCTCAAAAAACAGCCCCCCACCCAAGTTCCAGATACCCCCAGATCTATTCTCCATGATCCCCTAAGGGGCTTATTGACTATAATGGTCCCCATAAGCTATAATGGAGCAGGGGAAAATTTTTTTTGCACAACCCTGTTATGCTTTCCAGTATGATTTGTAAGCTGCCTTGAGCCAATGTTTGTTAGGTTAGGCAGGGTTCTGACAGCGATTATTCCACATGTTATATTTGACCTGTAAAGTTGTCATATTTCTCTAAAAAAACCCACCCCAAAGTAGACTGCAAACATCCCCCCCTAAGTGCTGGTATAGTGGAACCTGTTCCCCGAAGGCCAGGTCTACCAATATAGTGGAAAGGGGTGGGTAGACCTGTTCTCTGGAGGCCAGGTCTACCAATATAGTGGAAAGGGGTGGGAAGACCTGTTCTCTGGAGGCCAGGTCTACCAAAATAATGGAAAGGGGAGAGCAGACCTGTTCTCTGTAGGCCAGGTCTACCAATATAGTGGAAAGGGGTGGGGAGACCTGTTCTCTGGAGGCCAGGTCTACCCATAGTGGAAAGGGGAGGTAGACCTGTTCTCCAGAGTCCTGGTTACCCCCATAGAGGACATTTTCTGTAATGAAATTTGACTTGATTCTGTTTTCTCTTATAATGTTTAAATTATTCTTAAAATATAGTTTAAAATAATTCATTCTGAAATTTTTAGAAGATCATGCAAATAACCTAAAGAAAACTATGCAATAGTCAAATATAGACTTGCTCACAACTTTAATGCTACTAGCTTTTCTCACTCACAAGGTAGAATTTTTGCTCACAACACTGTGGAGCTTAGAGAGAACATTGTTTGTGAGATCCCTTTTCCTGAAATTTCAGGCTATTTGTAAACATAAAAGTAAGAACACACTCATATCATATCCATAAATATACATTCTGGGAATAAAAAACAAATCTGTTTTGAAGGATAACCTATGTATCTTGAGCACTTACAAATTTTGAGGATATAGATAGACGATATGTGAAACCCTGCTGGTGAGAAAGACTGATGGAAGGGAAACAGATAAGGATGTGAACCTCCAGGTGGGACCTGGGTACTGTTCATCTACAGACTACGGAGATCAGTTCCCCTGGAGCAAATGGATGCTTTGGAAGGTGGACCCAGGGCCGGCTCACTCACTAGGCGAACTAGGCGATCGCCTAGAGCAGGACGGCCCTTAGGGGCACCAAACTGCGCCCGGCCCCATACTCTGGAAGTTTCTTGATTATTTGTGTTTTTCATTCTTCCTAAAATGCATTTATTTTTGAAAACTGGTGGGCGCATTGGGGGGGGCAGAAAGGATCCTCGCCTAGGGTGCAAAATAAGCTGGAGCCGGCCCTGGGTGGACCCTGTGGCATCGTACCCCACTGAGGTCCCTGTCCTCCCCAGACCCCACTCCCAAATCTCCAGGAGTTTCCCAACATGGAGCTGGCAACCCTCCCCCCACTGATGGCCAGTGGTGACCTGGCTACTCCAGAGACATACTTCCTGTGGAACCTGCAAGCTTAATTGGGGTTGCAACTGCAAAGGAAGGGGGCAGCTTTTCTTCTGTATGACCTTCACCACATAAAATAGTCCCATAAGACCTCTGTTTTACCTGCTTGTGGCAAATATACAAGTATTGATAGCAGAAGGGGAAGGCTTGATCCCCACAATGAGGTTTTAGAAGCATACCTGTGAAATCTTCAACTTGTGCTGCTCAGTGAATGCAGACAGATCTGCCTGGTCAGTGAATACCTCAGTAATACCCAGTCCTTTAAATAGTTCTTTGACATCATAGTTCGTCCTCAGCGAAACTCTTGGAAGCGACAAGTCTATTCTCCTGTGTAAAGAAGAGCCCAAGATTGGTTGCGGTATCTCTCTAATATGACACAAGACACACAGAACAGAAATTTGCATTTTGGCTTAATAAAGAACTGTGAAGACTAAAATGATTTTTTAAAGCCTTAAAATGCTATGACACAGTTATAATGTTTTCAGTTAAAAATGCTGTTTGCTATGACAGCCATAGTATTTTTGGTTGAGAATCCTGGTTTCCTTTAAATAATGTGTTGACTTTAAGAGTGACCCAAAGCTCACAGAAATTAGCTGCTGTGATGGATTCAGATTAGCACAGGACTCAAGACCAAGTCCATCCTTCAATCCCCCATTCAGAAATTTAACCTTTAGGACATCTGGGGAAGGAACGGAACACAGCAGAATGACCTAAAACTAACAGCATTTTAAAAAGCAAAATCAGGGACAGATCTGGAACAAGAACAAGAACCAATAAACTGGGCTGGATTTTTCCGGTGTGGCGCAGTGACAGGAGGTTTTCTTGGGAGGCTCCCCAGCCACCTGATCCTCTTTTCGTTCTTTTTGAAGCTCCCCGGCCTTTCCAGTCCGGGGGAGCTTCGTCTGATCTCTTGGAGGGAGAGCAGATAGCAAGAGGCTTGTTTTCGGCCACCCACACACATGACAAGTGTGTGGGAGAGACCGTTTTTGCCTCGATGCAGGAGCAATCAACAGAGGAAAAACATGGTCGCCATGTTTTTGGACAGTTGCAGACAGTTGTTTTAAAGACCTATTATTTTTCTAACATGACAAGAATTACAAGAATGAAGAAGATGGGATTTATAGGAAGACCAAGTGTTTTTCAACCATAACAAGGCAATTAACTCTGTTAAAATACCCCTTTTGAACTCTTTTTTCCTTCTTCTCCTAAAATTGGGAAAGTGGCCAGCGTGAGAAAGGAGAACAAAGTTTGTCTGAGTGATTTATGGGGGTAAGAAGATAACTTTACTCATTTAAACTGAACTTAAAAATGCCGTTTGCAGGATATTTGAACTGTTGCCAAATAAATAAATATAACTGTCCTGAGTTACAGTGGCTAATTTAAAAGAAATAAGAAAAAAACAAACGGTAAGGACATGGAAGGAGGACAGGAACAATTTAAAAAGCTATTGCTAGATGAATGTCGAAGAGCGTTTAATGAGGCTTTTAAGAGTTTATTGGAGAAACCTCAGAACTTACTTGGTGATTGTGATGGGGGAAAAGAGGCGAATCAATCACAGCCTCAGCAGAATACTGTGGAAGACGAGATCAGAAGGCAAAGTCCCACTATGCAGGTAACATTGGCTCCACGTAAGACAGGATTTGAGAGACTCGGTGTACAAACGCCATACTTAGAAGAACCTTTGGAAAATTTTGTGATGTTGGAGGCAAGGAAAGGAAATTCTTGGGAGTACCTACCTAACAAGAAGGCTAAACTTGTTAAGGCAAAATTAAAGCCTGATACAAGGAAGCATGACAAGCATGGAAGAAATAATAAAAAACCAAAGAACACTGGATGGAATCCCTCCCTTTTGCACTTGAATTGTAGGAGGGAACAAATGGAAATGGAAGTTCATGTATTTAAAGAGAGAAGACACCTATGCATGATTGTAAAGAAAAAAAAGGATGCAGAAAATCAAGAAAAGATTAGCATATTATAAAGTGGTTTAGTATAAATTATGGGTTAAAGGAAAGATGAAAAATAGGTGTACTTTAGATAGGAACTGTGAGACTCTGTATATACAATGGATTTATAGTATAATGGGTGATGTTTAAAATGGGCAAATAAGGTAACTAACAATTTCTGTAAAGTAGCTAATACATTCTCAAGTTTGGCAAGTTAAAATAGCTATTTAGTACTATGGGAGAAAATGGGGTTTAGTTGATTTTTTTTACAAAAACAGGAAGAAAATTTAGTAGATGTATGAGGCATGAATAGTTTAGATAATACTTAGTCAATATTGTATCTAAGAATTTTGATGTTTCAGCTTACCTGATCCTCTCCTTATTGGGTGTTTAACTTACAAGACGGTAAAAGGGGGCATAAAGATAAAAGCAATGTGTTTATAAAACTGTTAGTCTATTTTTAAGCCCATGGTTATAAACAGTTGTTAGTTTTTCATTTTTCTTTTAGTTGTTTTGGAGTAAATGAAGCATTAGCATATGATACTTTGTAATAATATGAAGAGAAGAAGTTTGAATATTAAAGCTAAGAATTTCGAGGTTTCCTTTGGTTTGGTTTGTGGCAAGTTGGTAAATTAATCTATTACAAAATAGGGTAAATATGTAGGTAATGGTTATAAAGTGCTATATATTAGGTAAATGTCATAAGAGTATACGTAAGAAATTATACAGTATAATGTAATGTTAAGGAGTGATAAGTTGGCTAAGGAAGCAGGAAAGAAAGATAAAGTTAGAAGTAAAGTGAATGTTGGTAACTTTACAAACATAAATGCAAATTGAGATGAGATAAATCAGAATAACCTAATAATAGTTAAGATTATTTTGTTTGTTCTGTTTTTTCTTTTTCTTTTGTTGAT